GGGGGGGGGGGGGGGGGGTTGCTTTTAATTAGAGCACCAAGAGCTACGTGACTTCAGCACCTGAACGGAATAGAAGCTGACGAGAGAGACTCTGTTCTTACAGAAGTTTATTACTACAGTAAGAAAAGATAGAGGAGCAGAGAGGTTTCAGAAGCTCAAATCTTATTGCCTATGTGATGGCGGCATAACTATAAATTTGTTAATAATCCCATAAAGAAAATGTAACAGAAAGGCATATTTAGTACAAAATGATTTTATTGCTTAAAATTGTCTGTTATCTCAGACATGATCTCCTTTTTTCAAAAGCTCGCATGTTATGAATATTTGAATCTCTGGTTTTATTGTGATTTGCTCCCTACAATCCTTGCTCGTATCTTTCGAAAACGTCACAGTAACACTATACTTTGCACACTAGCCTTTTTTTTCTCTCTAGTGCTCGGGTTCCAGTACCTGGCCAGCACTACTCAGAGTACTCTCCAGTTCCGGAGAACGCATTTTGGTTGGTAAATCTTTCGGTTTAAAGGCACGAAGTAAACGCGTACCTTCAGGAAATAAACAGACTGACTGATTGATTAATCATGATAAAATCACCCAAAGGGGCACTATTTTGCACGAATTAGTCTTTATTGCTGAATCTTGAAATTGCTGCAAAACTGTTCTCTTCTTGTTCTTCTCTTGGAGACGCTCATGTTTCAGTTCTCATTCAAAAAGGGGGGGGGGTAGCAGGGTTAATCATGTGGGAAAAGTGTGGGGGTGTAAACTCGGTGTGCGTTTTGTGTGTTTGTGTGGGCCGATATGACGTTTGTTCGCGTGCATGTTTGCACAAGTGGGACATTTGAACCAACACACGGACCTTGAACATCTTGCTCTCATTGGAGGGAAAATAGAATACAAAAGAAGCAGGAGTAGACCGGGGACAACGTATTTTAAGACAGGCCATGATAATGGGGGGTGGGGGTTGAAAGAGTATCCACAAAGCAAAGACATGAGAGGCAAAACATGATTGTAGATTTATAGTTCAGAACTGGCATTTGACCACTAACACACAAACACAAACACACACACACACACACACACACACACACACACACACGCTAACACACACACATACACATACACGCACACACATACACATACACGCACACACATACACATTTACACATGCAAATACACACACTTTTTTGCAGGTTACTCTCG